ACGATTTCTTTTTTCATTTATAATTATTTTGTGTGATGGGGTTTATATAAGACGAAGGGGAAAGTTTTTTTTGTTTTAAATAAATCTTGTGTGAATTGCCACTGCTTGGGCTGCAGTGCAGTCATGAGTTTGAGCGGTCTTCTTCTTGTTGTTTCCGTTATGCGTCTCTGCTGTACATTTCGTGCGTCCCTCCACATACTCTGCTCCCTCTTTTCTACGTCTTTGCTTTGTGTTTCTGCAGGCACACAACAACCACACACACACAAGTTGCACATTGCAGTGGGTTTGAATGCTCCTTTTGTAGTGCATGCTGGCAGTTGCGTGTGGCGGCTGTTCTCTTCCGTGGCCATGAGGAGAAGGGAGGTGGAGGGAGTGAAGTGCGCACCCCGAATCTCTTTTCCTGCGGGTGTGGTGCACCGCGTGTGACTGCGTTGAGTTGGGCTCCGTGTTTCATTGAGGGCGGGATGGCTGGAAATTTTTTGCCGCGTCATGGATGGATGAGGGTGCACTGGCGCGTGTGGCTGTTGTGGTGGGTGCTTGCTCCGTGTTTGTTGAGTGGGGTGGCTGGGATTCCTGGACATGTATCTGGTGATGCGGATACGGTGGTTGTGCCGGTGGATGTGTCGTGTGCTCCGAGTGACGGCAGCCTGAGGTATCGCGTGCCTGTGTTTGTGTGTGGGAGTGGAAGAAGTGTTCTGCTGCCGGTGCTGAGGCTCAGTATGAGAACTGTACTTTCAGTGGCTTTGATGTGCGCATGCATGGCAGGAATGGTGAGCTGGGTGCTGTGTGCCATGTGGCCAATGCGGTGCACACATGTAGCAACTGTGCTGCCAGCTGTTCAACGAAGGAGGAAGGGGCCACCGTTGCCTCCACGATGAGTGTGACGACACATAAATACGCCGGCCCTCATGAATTGCGGTGGCGTCAATTTTCTCCCGACGGAACCATCCATCCGCCTGCACGGAGCAGCGCTGCTGACCGTACGGGCATCTGTCAGTTGCCGCCGCCCCGTGAAGGGAAGGATGACACAAAATCTGGTGAGACAACTGCGCCGCAAGTTAATGCTGAGCCGTCACGTCAACACGAGGATTGGCGACAGTCTGCCGCGGCTGACGGACCCAACACCGTCGATCGGAGTCCCGCATCCAACAAGTGTAGGAAAAAGTTTCGCATTGCAACCGATCCGAAAGAAAACGTGGCTCCAACACCACCCAAGAGGAGGCCTAGCATTGCCACGAGTCGGAACATAGAAATGGATCCGAATGCATTTGAGACGATGACTGCGCCCGCCACCGCGTTGAGGATTTCAGTGGGCTCGAAGGATGCCCGTGAGAGTGAGGCCGTTGACGGCAGCGGCGAGCACTTTTCTGGGGAAATTGCGGGAGGAATGAATGGTCACAACGTCTCCGGAAAAACAAAGCGGCATCAAGAAATGTGAACTTGCACGATCTGGAGCGGCGTGAGTGCCGAGGACCGCCTCGCCCTGTTTGGCGACGTGAAGTTGATACTATGCGATTCAACTGGCGACCGCACTGCGCGTCTGTGCGTGTCTCTGGCGTTGCTGCTGCTGCTGCTGGAGCTATGTGGAGTTGTGGTAGTCTTTCGAGCTAAAGAGGGTGGAATTGTGACTCTCCACGGGGGATATTTACCGCATACTTTGCGGCTTTTATGTCACTGTTTTTTCTCTTCTTTTTTAATGATTTACTGATCGCCTTTTAAACTTTTTTTCTTTTTTATTGCTGTTTTTCCCTTTTTTCTTTTTTGTAATGTTCTTTTTGAATCTTTTTCCTCTGGAGTAATAAGTACCCTTTTTTCCCCCTC